AGCTTTTTATATTCTAAAGTTTCATATGTATTTGGTTCTATTTATGGATTTTCTGTTCTACTCTACTGATCTGTTTGTCTCTTGATGTGCCAGTATCTCAGTGTTTTTATTGTAGAGGACTTATAAATGTTTTAATGTCTAGTAGGCTGGTTCTTTTTTTTTTTAAGCTTTTCTTTTTTAGTGTTTTCCTGGCTTTTCTTGCATGTTTATCTTTTTATATGATGACTGTTATCAATTTATCAAATCCCATATAAAAGTTGGTATTTTTTTTTTCATTTCTTTGAAATTGTTCCTCTGTCAAATGGGTATAATATGTGTGGCAAAAGATTAAAGAAGTAATGTGCATGAAAATACTTCAGGGCGCCTGGGTGGCTCAGTTGGTTAAATGACTGCCTTCGGCTCAGGTCATAATCCTGGAGTCCCTGGATCGAGTCCCGCATCGTGCTCCCTGCTCAGCAGGGAGTCTGCTTCTCCCTCTGACCCTCCCCCCTCTCATGTGCTCTCTCTCATTCTCTCTCTCTCAAATAAATAAATAAAATCTTTAAAAAAAATACTTCAGAAATAGTACAGTCATATAGATATAAAATATTGTTATTGTTATTATGTTACAAAATATGTTTTATATTTTTAACATAATACTCAACATTTTTTCAGATTCTTTGATTCATCATCTAATATCTATTCAAAGCAATCTTTTAAAGTAACCTCATTGAAAACAATGCAGATTCATTTTGGTACAATAAAAATTCAGTCAGTTGGAATTTAAGAATTTGAACTTGAAGCAAGTAGTAATCTTTGTGAATAGCTTCTAGTAATGTGTCATTCTTAAATGTCTCATTTATAGCCCAGGACCTTAATATTTTGTTCTATTTTTTTAGATGAATGAAAACCAGACTAAATAAAGTATAAGAGGTCAATTTTAAAGGGTTTAAATACTTTTTTAAAGATTTTATTTATTTGAGAGACAGAGAGAGTGAGAGAGAGAGCGCAAGAGGGGGTAGGGTTACAGGGAGAAGCAGACTCCCCGCCGAACAGGGAGCCCGATGTGGGACTCGATCCCGGGACTCCGGGATCATGACCTGAGCCGAAGGCCGTCGCTTAACCAACTGAGCCACCCAGGCACCCTTAAATACTTTTAATGGTAGTTATTAGCAGCAGTCAAGAAATCTACCCAGCTAGAGTAAGAAAATAAAATATGACTAAAGGTTTATTCTTTAATCAAAGATAATGAAACAAGATTAAAATTACTCTTTTATAAAAGTAAACACAGAATATTAAGAATACAATTCTAGAAGTTGAGTTAAAATTTATTTTGGTGAAATTTTTAATATTTGAATGTTTTTGCTTAACCCTGTTCTGTTAGGAAAAAAAAAAACTAACTTGTTTTAAATATGGTTTCAGTTTTTAAAATTAAATCAGAATGGAAAACTGACAAATTATGTGATTCCAGGGTTTGTGATTGTAGATCAGGGATTGGCATGCTTTTTTTCCTTTAAAGGGTTAAATAGTAAATTGTGTTTTTTGTGGGCCACTTATGGTTGCTGCCCCTGCCTCATCTGCCTCCTTCCCTCCTTTATTTCCACCTTTACCTCCTTCTCTTTCTTCACAATCCTTTAAAAATGTAAAAACCATTCTTAGCTTATGGGTTGTACAAAAATAGGAAATGGGCCAGGTTTGGACCCAGGGATATAGTTAGAATAGATGGTTAGAGTTTCTTCTTTCAATTTTTGAATATGTTGGACAGCTTTGGAATATAAAATATAAATATTACAGCCCTCTTGTCACTTTATGACTTTCTAACTTTTACTGAAATCCTTGAAACAGTGCCATTTGCTTGAAGGTTCCAGTTACTTAAGTTCTAGATTCTTATTTGCCACTTTTTTTTTTTAAGATTTATTTATTTATTTGAGAGAGAGAGTACACAAGCAGGGAGAGGCGTGGAGGGGCAGAGGGAGAGGGAGAGAGAATCCTCAAGTAGACTCCCCGCTGAGCACGGAGTCTGTTGAAGGGGCTCCATCCCACGACCCTGAGATCATGACCTGAGTTGAAATCAAGAGTTGGACGCTCAACCGACTGAGCCACCCAGGCGCTCCTTGTTTGCCATCTTAATTACAGTTCTAGAGCAGTGCCTTACACCCCAGACCATTTAGTAAATACTGGATCTATGGCTGAGTAACTGAGTTTTACTAGTCACTCTTTATTTAGGCAAGTACAGGTGTCAAATATCCTGACTAAAAGTAATCTCTGTATGTCCGATTGATGGCCCATTTTTAATTACGAGAACTATCACTTTTTCAGTAGAAAAAAAAATCACAGTCTCTCAACAACAGGTCCATAGCAATAGTTGTAATTTTTGCATTTTTAATGAGAAAATTCAGATTGGTAAGATATTGTTGGTATCAACATTTCATGTTTATATAAAAAAGAAACAGCTGTATTCAGTTTTCCCTTTTCATAAACCACACATTGATGAAAATTTGGGCTTAGAGTTGTAAATAAAAATGTAAGTTTGAAGAATAGAATTTTAGATCAGCTATTTGAACATTTGCCTTTGGTCAGAATTCTTACTCCTTTGAAATATAATGTATAGCAGATCTACTAAATATTAAATATAATATGCTAGAAGTATACAAAGCATATTAAATCGACATGATTTCCTAACCTCCAGAAATTATTGTTATAGGTATTCAACAGATAGCAAGGATGTAGCAATGAAAGGGACTTTGGCACATAAACTGACGTAGAAACAAATGCTACCAATCATGACTACTTTTTGGTTTCATGTTTCTAGGTATATTCTTCATGTACAACTTGTTAGAATAACCCTTATAGCATCTTTTTTTTGTTTCCTATCCTTATTGTTCAGTCTTGGTTATAAGTTGATATTGCAACTTTATACTGTAGGGGAACAGAAATAACATGTGACCACATAGTGTCCCTTTAGTGTATGTCTAGGCTATAAAATCATCATCATATAAAATTTGCCAAACAAGAGGCCACTGTATGATGATTTCATAGGTGCTTATTCAGCATAAAAAGATGACCTCAAATGCTGACAACAGAATAATTTCAACACTGTCATGAAGTATAAATTTTAAACAATTGAATTTAAAATACATTTGTGTCATTTTAGCTTGAAGTATAGAACCACAAGGGAATTCTTTCAAAATGAGCTCACATTAAAAGGTATTTTAACACAATTTTTTTTTGTCTCAGGAATTATTAAAGCTACTATACAATGATAATTCTTTTAAGGAACTCTGCAAACATAACTCTTATTCAGTTCTGTCATAAAGGGTAAATAAAAGGTTTATCTAAGTTTTAAAATATTAATGTGCATCATTATTTTTAGTAAAGTTCTGAATATAAGACAAACTAATATGAACCTCTGCAAGTTAATATTAAGATATCATGGTATATTCATTTACTATTTATGAAATTACATGTTATCAATATATCTTAGGGTCCCATAATTGCTTGCTGTTCATTTATTTTATTCCTTGCAATACTATCCCTTGTCATTCATTTCTGCAATTCTCGCATCGTGGGTTTCTATAGTTAATTCTACAAACTTAAAGGAAAATTATGCTGATTTATTTAAATATTCTTTAGGAAGAAAAAAAGTCATACTTTTATGTGGAAATTTCTTCTAGCCAAAAAACCATGTTGTTAAGAATCTACCTAGTACCAAAACGTACTTCATATGTGTATGTAGGGGTGTGTGTATTTACTTTATATTAATCATCTATATTTTTCAAAGCAAAAAATCATAAACAATTAGCAAGATACTTAGTGTTCTAGAATATTTTATATTTTGATTAAAACCAGTGACTCACTAATTTTTATATATGTATGTAAATCAAGGAAAAGCCACATTGTTTCCTTTATATCAGAGAGTGGTTTAACTAGCTGGAGGCTGCAGGGACACAGTTCTCACTGAAGGTTTTGAAAGGGCTAGCAGCATGGTTGGCCTGGTCTCTTTAGATTGTCTCAGGATTGTAAAATGCATTGTGCCTAGAAATACCGATGGTAGAAAGATCAGATATGTCACTGTGTTAGTAAGAGAAGGTGAATGATGATGCTATGCCACCAATTACAGTGGTTACCACGTGAAAAGGAGGGGTCAGATATAGGAGAGATTGTGCATGCTGAAATAGAACCTACCAATTGTTGGGATGTTGGATACAATAAGTATGGAGTTTGTGTCCCAAATAATTGGAATGCTACTCTTTAACAAGGAGTGCAGAGTAAGAAAATGAAATGAGTTCATCTGAACCAAATTGACTATGTGTAACTATTATGCCCTGGAATGTTTCCGTTAATATTCTGGAATATTAAAACTGAGAATGATCTCAGAAGCCTAATAAGATGATTTGAGGGCATAAAGAGGCATGCTTTTTTACATGATATATAATTATATTTTTATTTTTGTTGGCAGTGTAATAGTAGTAGGAGTAATAGCTGTATTTATTAAGTGCTTGATATGTGTTAGATATTTAAAAATACACGATCTCATTTAATCTTCACGTCAGTACTAAGAGCGAAGTATTATTATTTTTGTTTTTTTTTTTTTTTTTTTTTTTTTTTTTTTTTGCAGATGAATAAACTAAAGCAGAGAAGTTAAATAAATTGCCCAAGGTGGCTGGGTGATTATATATGTACATTTTGAATCTAAGCTGTTTGACTCCAAAACCCTTGTGCTCTTTGAAATCATTTCATTAAATAGATGTACCAAATGAGAAATGGAAAGGAGCCCAAAGAAGAATGCGATAATACTTGGATCCATACTAAACTTCAGGATACCCCAAAGACTTTGAAGAGTTTCACAAAATTTTTAAATAAGTGAATTTACTTCCCTTTAATAAAAAATAACTTATGTGGTAACTCTAGTTTATGGATGGCCAGGGGAAAATACACAGTATAAAAATAAAACCCTGAATGAAATGTGATGTATGTTTGTGATGGAGAATATTCAGTATCATTTTCATTTTGACTTACAGCTTGTACATGCAGTGGCCATGCAAATATTTGTCACATGCACACAGGAAAATGTTTCTGCACAACTAAAGGAATCAAAGGTGATCAATGCCAATTGTAAGTAAAAATGACTTTTTAGAACTTTTGTGGGTTGAACTTTTGCTGTAAACTAATTATTACAGGCTTTGCTTTTTAAGTTTAGTGTTGTGCTAGCTAAGCAACCAATATTATTTTAAACTAGGTTTACTTGCATTTTATCAATTCTCATAAAAAATTAAGCCTTTTAAAAATGGCAGTTTTGTGGAGGCTTTAACAGAACCCATAGAATATGTTTGTCTTTGGCATCTCTCTAAAAAAAGAAACATTCTTAATTTTTTTGGAAAACACATACATTAAATTTTTATTTTATTTTTATGATTATCCTCCATAGCTTGTTAAATAATAAATCATATGTTTCTTGCCCTTCTTTTGAATCTGTCATTATTATTTTATAACTGTAGTTATTTAAGCCTTTCAAGTGGTTTCTTATTTTTCTCTGTTTCACTAGACATGAACCCACTCTTTTTTTTTTTTTTAAAGATTTTATTTATTTATTTGACAGAGAGAGACACAGCGAGAGAGGGAACACAAGCAGGGGGAGTGGGAGAGGGAGAAGCAGGCTCCCCGCAGAGCAGGGAGCCCGATGTGGGACTCGATCTCAGGACCCTGGGATCATGACCTGAGCCGAAGGCAGTCGCTCAACCGACTGAGCCACCAGGCGCCCAGACATGAACCCACTCTTGTTACTCAGCTTTCAATAGTTTTATGATTGATTTTTGTCTTTTTATAATTTGTTATTCTCAAGATTTACCCTCCCCCTCAAAAAAATTAACCCCAAAACGCAGTTGTCTCATGGTATCTAAACATTATTTTTTTCTAATTTATATAGATATATATAATATTATATAATATTAAATATGTAATATTATATAATATTATAATGTAATTATATAATATTACATTAGGTATAAATGTACTGTATTTGATACAAATCCATCAACTCTAACTATAATAACTGTAAAATTATGAAAAATTGATAAAGGATTCTCTAAAACTTTTATTTCCAAATAAGTCTGTTAATCTTGGAAAATGATCATTTTGTTTCTTTTTATTTAAGACAAATATATTATTTGCTGTAGAATTATTTTAAACATTTAAAGTTAGATGATCATGTCTTTGACTAGCCACTGAGGTGTCATAGGTTTATGACTTCAGAGAAGGTGAACAGAACCATTTTTTATTCCTTCTCCAATAGTCTCTAAACTTAAAAAGGAGGTGAAAGGATAAAGATCTTAGGGAAATTCCTATTAATGAAGGCTATTTTGGTCTCAATACCAATGCATTAAAATCAGAGTTCTGTGTTCTAAGACAGAGATACTACTAATATTTTGATGAATACAAAATTCATAAGTAGGGCCACCTTCTTGGGTGTGTGCCTAGAAGGGCATCATGCTTGGTTTAATGCACTGCTATCACCATCTTGAAATTCTTAATAAATTTTTAACAAGAGCCTTACATTTTATTTGTACTGCTTCTTGCCTCCCTCTCCCCTACCACGAATTATGTATCAGGTTCTGGTCATAAACAAGAAATATTTAATTTTTGTTCTAAGATTCCATTATTTCATCAATGAAAACTGACAACTTTAATTTGTACTATATTTTTGCTTAAGTGATATAACCATCTATAATAATTATCTCTAATGTGATGTGGTACTTTTGTGAGATACTTTTATTTCTAGATAAGTGAGAGCAGTATTTTAGTTCATTGAAATCATGCAATTATACACTTAGAAATACAGAGTAACAGGGTTTGGCGTATGTATGAAATAGTAGAAAAATAAATTATATAGTTCTGAATGAGGAAAGTACATTTTGCTGTAGTTCTTATTTATGATTTTTGTAAGCAAGGGAAAAATTGGAATACTAATTTGTACAGTATTTTGTAGATAGCCTTTCTAGATAGAATTGTATTCATTATTTTTTCTTTGTTTTATTTATTTGGCTTTTGAGTGCAGGGCAAGGAAATTAGGATCATCATTCTTAAAGCAATTATTTTCTACAGTGTGCTTATACTGAAAAAAAAACCATTCTTGTTAGGAAGCACAGCTAGTCATTCAAATCACTAAATAATTATTAAGTGAGTACTTGTACTATTTTTTTTATTATTATGTTATGTTAATCACCATACATTACATCATTAGTTTTTGATGTAGAGTTCCATGATTGATTGTTTGTGTATAACACCCAGTCCTCCATGCAGAACGTGCCCTCTTTAATACCCATCACCACGCTAACCCATCCTCCCACCCCCCTCCCCTCTAGAACCCTCAGTTTGTTTTTCAGAGTCCATCGTCTCTCATGGTTCATCTCCCCCTCCGATTTCCCTCCCTTCATTCTTCCCCACCTGCTTTTTCTTTTTTAAATTTTTTTTTTTAACATATAATGTCTTATTTGTTTCAGAGGTACAGATCTGTGATTCAATAGTCTTGCACAATTCAGAGCGCTCACCATAGCACATACCCTCCTCAGTATCTATCACCCAGCCACCCCATCCCTCCCACCGCCCCCACCCCACTCCAGCAACCCTCAGTTTGTTTCCTGAGATTAAGAATTCCTCATATCAGTGAGGTCATATGATACATGTCCTTCTCTGATTGACTTATTTCGCTCAGCATAACACCCTCCAGTTCTGTCCACGTCATTGCAAATGGCAAGATTTCATTCCTTTTGATGGCTACATAATATTCCTGTGTATATATATACCACTTCTTCTTTATCCATTCATCTGTTGATGGACATCTTGGCTCTTTCCACAGTTTGACTATTGTGGACATTGCTGCTATAAACATCGGGGTGCACGTACCCGTTCGGATCCCTACCTTTGTATCTTTGGGGTAAATACCCAGTAGTGTAATTGCTGGATCGTATGGTAGCTCTATTTTCAACTTTTTGAGGAAGCTCCATACTGTTTTGCAGAGTGGCTGCACCAGCTTGCATTCCCACCAACAGTGTAGGAGGGTTCCCCTTTCTCTGCATCCCCGCCAATATCTGTCATTTCCTGACTTGTTAATTTTAGCCATTCTGACTGGTGTGAGGTGATATCTCATTGAGGTTTTGATTTGGATTTCCCTGATGCCGAGCGATATTGAGCACTTTTTCATGTGTCTGTTGGCCATTTGGATGTCTTCTTTGGAAAAATGTCTGTTCATGTCTTCTGCCCATTTCTTGATTGGATCATTTGTTCTTTGGGTGTTGAGTTTAAGAAATTCTTTATAGATTTTGGATACTAGCCCTTTATCTGATATGTCATTTGCAAATACCTTCTCCCATTCTGTCGGTTGTCTTTTGGTTTTGTTGACTGTTTCTTTTGCTGTGCAAAAGCTTTTTATCTCGATGAAGTCCCAATAGTTCATTTTTGCCCTTGCTTCCCTTGCCTTTGGCGATGTTTCTAGGAAGAAGTTGCTGCGGCTGAGGTTGAAGAGGTTGCTGCCTGTGTTCTCCTTTAGGATTTTGATGAACTCCTGTCTCACATTTAGGTCTTTCAACCATTTCGCATCTAGTTTTGTGTGTGGTATTCCCCCAGCGCTGGAGTTCTGCCAGTCTCATTGATCGGTAAACTTGGTCTTGGCTGGCTGTTCTTGCTGATCTTCTGGGGGAGGGGCCTGTTGCATGGTTCTCAGATGTCTTTGCTGGAGGCAATTGCCCCGCCCTTGCCGGGTTGGGCTGTCATCTGCTCAGGTTTGCTCTCAGGAGCTTTTGTTCCCTGCAAGCTTTCGGTACAGCTTTGGAGGACGAGAGTGAAAATGGCGGCCTCCCAGTCTCCGCCCTGGAGGAGCTGAGAACTCGGGGCCCCACTCCTCAGTGAGCCCCCGGAGAAAAGCAGTCAATCACTCCCGTCTCCCCGGTCTCCGGCCGCACTCTGTGCTCACCCGGCCTGTGACCGAGCATTTCTGTCTCTGGCACATGACCCCATGTGGAGTCTCCAAACCCAGCAGATCCCTGCGGTGCGCTCCCGTGCCGCTCCTCTCGGGGGAAGAAGGGGAGTCTCCCTGGATCTGCCGCTTGTTGGGTCCCTGCTGGAAGAGCAGTGGCCCGACTGTGCCATGGATCACAGTTTATGGCAACCCCGAGCTGAGAGCCCGCTCCTCAGCTCCGTCTCTGCAGCCCCCTTTCCCGCTCCGATACCTGGGAGCTCTGCCGCACTCAGGCACCCCTGGTCTTTCTCTGACCCTGAGGGTCCTGTGACCACATGGTCCCAGTGAGGGTTTCACCCCCCACTCAGACACTGGAGCGACGTCCCTCAGTGGAGCCGACTTCTGAAAGTTCCGATTTTGTGCTCCACTGCTCTATCATTTGCCAGAAGTGGCCCATGGAGGCCCCCTCCCCCGCCATCTATCCTCCCAAATATCACCTTGGATTCACTTCTCCACATGTCCTATCTTCCAGAAAGTGGTTGCTTTTCTGTTCAGAAAGTTGTTGCTATTCTTTTCTTTGATCTCCTGTTGAGTTTGTAGGTGTTCAGAATGGTTTGATCCCTATCCAGCTGAATTCCTGGGACCAGATGAAATTTAGGTCTCCTACTCCTCTGCCATCTTGCTCTGAGTGCTTGTACTATTAATGAAAATGAATATCACATAGTTTTTGCTGGAAGTATCTTTCAGGCTAACAGTGGAGACACTAGCCAAAATATAATATACTAATTTCCTGTATCAGTGATTTGAAATGCTTGGGAACCTTTCCGTCTTCACAGGTCAATTTTTGTTTGACTTTAAATATATAGTTGTACATCACATCTTGTGTATTTTTCATAACCTTCTCAAACTAAAATTAGTTCTCTTCCTATATGCTATTTTTTCCTTGCATTATCTGTGCACTCGCCTGTATCCTTTGCTAGAATGAAATTCTTTGGGGACCATGTCATCAGTACCACAATGTAAGTGTTCAATAAGTTTATAATGGTTTCGAATGAAGAAAATATTGACAGAGTACTGAAGAGGGCAGGGTTAATTTACCTTGGAGGGATCAAGAAAGTTTGAGAAGAGGATACTTAAGCTGGAATGTGAAGGAGGAGGTAAA